TAGAAAATAACCAAACATTTGTTGTAATTATTATTGATCATAACATATCTTGATGGCAGACGTTTAAGGCCTCATTGTACCACTTTGGGGGATCCGGGATGAAATCCGGGCTGATCGAAAACTACAGGAATTATGTTGGGCCCGTTGTAGTCTTGGTCGACCCACGAAAGCCTGAAAAAGGCCCCTTTTAGTGCCCATTCAAGAATACAATTGTTTGACTTTTTAATATATTGCTTTAATTTTTTTTTGTTAGTTTCTATTCAATTTAAATAGCAGTGGAAAATTTTATGGAATGTTTTATCGGGTAGAATGCGATATTGCCAATTAATAATAGAATTTATTTTGGATAAACTTAAGTAATATAATATTTTATGCTGAATGTACAGTACCGTATTTAATTCTAGAGGGATTGAGTTGATGAAACAAGGCAAGCCGATCTGCCTAGGGAGATTGCCTCTTTGGAGAACTTTCTATGGCAAATTGGTTCTTATTTAGATATTAGACACGTGAAGAAAACGATAACCCGTGGCTAACCCATTGATGAGGTGCAAACCCGCGATCAATTATCATGGTTCAGTGGTTCACTCTCAGTCACCAGTGGCTCGTTATATCTTCATGGAGCCAAGGCAAATTTAAATTAGATGACCCGGTGTAGACATTTTTCTTCCAGAAAATTTGTTGAGGGAAATACTTTCTTATAAAAGATTGGTTTGGGGCCCCCTATTGGTGTAGGCCCCAGGCAATTGCCCTTTTTGCCCATAGGATAAAACGCCACTAATGGATTTTTAAATCTCGAATACTCAAGAACACTTTCCATTAAATAATTTACAAAAATAGATAATTATAAACAGCTTTTATTATATATTTTAATTATCGATTAATCGGTCAATAACACGAAATATTCCGTTAAGAAATTCGATTAGTTTGTTAAAAATAACTGAAGAAATTAAACCATGAAAATTCTAATTTGGCAGCAATTTCTGGCTAAAAACAACATCCAAGTTTAATTTACAAGATCTCAAATTTGTCGTCAATTTAAACATCCAAATACCTTCGAAACTATGAAGAAAATTCTTACCTACCTTAAAAACTAAGTTAATTTTCTTTAATTTTTTTAAAAATAAGAATTAAAATTATTACATGAGAAATTAGGTTAGTAATTTATAAAATTTACATTTGTAGTTTTATAGGGAAAGATATAAAATAAATATTTATAAAGAAAGCTGCGAAATCGATAATAATAATAATAATAATAATAATAATAGATAAATATAAGAAGGCCTTTACAAAAATAAAGTTGTTTTATTTCGTTTCCTGTAAACACGAAAGACGAAAAGGAGAGACTCTGTGTAAATAAACTTACTCAAACCGTTAAGTGATAAACAAACTGTTAAACGTGATTAATTTCACTTGTTTTACGGAACGTGAGAGATGTTTAATGTTCCAATGATCAAATATCCTTTCGGATGAGCTCCTTTATGAAAAAAAATCAAGCAAAAATCATTAAAAAATACCTCGATTTTACGTTCTAAATCGTCATTTTAAAAACGTTAATTAAGCTTCATTCCGCTAAAGATTTCATTAATGAAGTGGATTTTCGTAAATATTTAACTTTAAAATAATAATTTACGTGTAATATAACGTCCAATCTTTTTTTATATTTTTATAACAAATCTACAACATTATTATTATTATTTTTAATTTGGAATTTTTAGTTTCTTGGTGTGCAACATGAAACTAATTATAAGAAATTTAAATACTTCGTCGTAACTTTATTTATGTACATCGTTGAAATTATTTATATGCCAATTTTTGTTAACACCAATGATATCAAAATGCTAAAATTAAACGAATGTCGTAATAGGATTCTCGGAATATGTCTTATACGCCATAACTCGATGACATTTGAAGGAATTTCTGGTCAGATTTTATTTGTCTCTTACTTAATTTAATGTTAAAAATAATTAATTCTGTTAAAGTAATAAAAAATAGCTTTAAATGTACATTAAATATATAAATTATATAGATGATTTTATTCGAAAAAAGTTGATGTCTTCCTAATTGCAAGTATAATAATCTCCGTGTTTGCAGGGCCATCGAAAGCTTGGTATAGTATTTGGGGTAAAGTGGGCGCCTTTTGCCTTAGCTGGCAACTTTTGTATTCTTTTTGAACATGTTTCTTTATTAATTAACAAAATAGCATTCATTTAAAGGATCAGAAACCATTGTAATTCCGAAGTATTCTTAGGACACTAGAAAAAAATCCCTTCTCGACGTATAAAAATACCAAATTCCTTCCCCAATTTTCTATAGATTAATGACACGTAAGCTTTCACCTGTCTGTTTTTTTCTATAGAAAAATGAATTAAATACTTCATCTTACCACTGATCTTTCTCGATCCTATTTTATTCGAATTCAGAATTTAATACAGATTCCGTACTATAATAGTATTTTTTTAATCGATATATCGCATTATTGTGACATATAATACGAATATATTGCTCGAAAATAGTTTTCCAACTTTATTTACAGACGAATAAGTACATTCATTGAATATAACTGAGCTAAGAATGCAGCTGTTCGCTTTCTTTAAAAAACTGTATTTAAAGTGGCATTTGTAGCGAATTTTATAAAAGGCTTTCTTGTTATATTTTATTTATGGTAATAGAAATGACCTGTATACAATTTTGTCCAAAAATTTAAAAATAATAAATGCAATTTGTAACTTGTCAAACGTTAAATTATCATAGCTCATTCGTTTTCAGACTCAGCATCTATGGAATCCTCCCATTCTAACCAGCATTCTAACCATGAATCCTCCTCACTCTGTCGTCAGAATGGGGAGGATTCCAATCTACGGACTGAACACAAAAATATTAACAGCTGGTAAAGTTGTCCTCATGATAACCCACACCATTTATGAATGATTTGAAATACATTTTATGATTCGTGTAAATTAAGAAACAATGTATTAGATACTCAGATTAAATGATCCCTTCATCATATAGAACCATTGTTAAATAATGTCAATCATCCTGGTACAAGTATTAACATTGATAAACTGTTAATACGTCTAGCTCTATGTCCATAATGTGTGATTAAAGATCAAAATTAAAAGTTAGTAGTAAGTTTTCATACATTTAAATTTATCGAAAAATTTAATCTTAAATTGAATGTTATGAATAAAAATCTGTAAATATTATTCATAAATATGATTGAGGATGATCTGTATAGACATTTTTCAGCCTGTAGTTTGAATATTATTATCATAATCACGAATAAGTTTGATTTTTCTCCCTAATTCTTTCCGTTTTATGGGCATTAAGAGGGCTTTTTAATTAAGCTCATCATGGGCTCGGCAGGACCACAATGAGTTAATAACGAGGCCCCAAGTATAGAAAATATTCAAGAATAACAGTGATCCTCACTAATATACAATTATAAACAATATTGAACAATATAACAGCGTAATCATTGTTATGATGATACTGTCTGTTGTACAGTGCCCGGTATACACCATGTATGATCTACTGTACATAGTGTAACCATATCATGCTTAGTTATGACTATAAATAAAATCCTAATGGGTCTAAGAAAGCCTTTTTAATCACACTCATCAAGGATCGGCCACACCTATAATGAAGTGGCCGTTTGATAAAGGTCAAGGCCTAAATATCCCCAAAATTCGCTGAGTTTTTCGCTCGCCCGGATTCGATTCGAGTTTCCAGAATAGTATAGGACTACAGGCATACTAAGTCTTAACGTTAAATCGTAATTAAATTATTACAGTAATAATTAATAAATATAAATCTTGTCTAGTATTAGATGCAGTAAAACTACTGCATATATTTTATTGTGAAGAGAAATAGACCTTTATCCAAGCATTTTTTTAAATTATAACATAGATACACCTCGGTAGCAATATATCAGAAGTATTCTTATAGAAGATTCTTTATAAGAAACATACAAGAATGTTTGTAACATCTGGAGAGAGAAACAATACTAAGTTCTATTGCAAGGTCTGGTACTTTAATCAATATTACATACCTATCATTGATTTTTCAGTTTTCAAATCTGGAAAAGGACAGATTAGTTTGCTGTTTCAACTTTTATCTCTTTGTAAAATTTACCTTCTTTTTGACTTTAAATTTATTACACTTAAAGTATCTCGTGTGGATGATATATATATATTGATCGTATACGGTCAATGAATTGCTGTGTAAAAAATAGAATGCAGTATAACTCCGTTTTCTTTTGTATATTTTCTCTCACTTTATCTATTTATAACAATAAAATGGCTTCTGCACTATTCTAAAATTGATTATACTAACTTGTAAGTTTCAAAAAATTATAACATTATAAGATTTTTCCTAATTCTACGATATAAAATTCCAATTTTGTTTAATGTTACTATTACTATTGTAATTACAACATTATAACTATGAAAACACTCATATAACTATAAAGTAATAGGTTTATTTTATTATAAAAAATTATCATAGAATGTTATATAACCCCAACACCCTATCGACTATAGTAATAAATTATATTTGTCAACAATATAACAATAAAATATTATATAGATAATTTTATTCGAAAAAAGTTGATGTCTTCCTAATTGCAAGTATAATAATCTCCGTGTTTGCAGGGCCATCGAAAGTTTGNATATATATTTTAATAAGTAGATATAATTAAGACCTATCAGTGGCGTGAACCCCTGACTGGATAGTCATGGGTTCGAGCCCGACCAGAAGTGATTACGTAGAGTTTTCCGGGGTTTTTTCACGTACCTAAAACAAAATCGAGTGAAGTTTATAACTGTTGCAATTCTAAACGAACCTAACCTTGTAAGAAGTAGAAACAATAGAAGATAAGAGTTAAGCATCAGCCTGAAAAGTTTTCTCAGAGTCGAACAATTAAATTAAACGATTATAATTAAATTATAATGAATTAAACTCCAATATTTTGTTCTTATAACAATTTTCTTTTAATATTTCAGTCGGTTCTAGAGATAAAACTAACAGGAAACAATGAAAAACCAGATATTTTGGCAACTTTACACGAAACGCATTCGACAGCTGTTAGCAAGAAACAGGGAGTTTCAGGCGAGACTCATAGTCAAGGAATTAAAAGTTTTCAAATAGCAAAATATGAGAAAGATTATCGGTAAGTCGTTTTATAATTTTTACTTTTTTTAAATTGAATAAAATTATATAATAATAATAATAATAATAATAATTTAGAGCCTGTCAAGAGGAAAATTTAACAACGTTAATTAAATACTTTCGATTGTAAAAATGCGTTTTAATGCTTTAAAATAACCTTTTAATAGTTACTCAAGAATGAGTTACGATTGTCATCACCGAAAAAAGAGAAGAGAGCATCATTTTTAGAGAAGAACAGAAGCATTGTACCTTGACATTGACTTGGCAAGAGTTCTGACGCCAGCAGAAAAGAATAAGAAAAAAAAAACAAAAATAGCAAAAAGAGAGAATGAATTATATAAACAAGTGGCCAAAAATTCGCATTTAAAATAGGAAAATCGCGTTTTTCATTTGAAAAAATATAAAAATTAAAAGAGATGAAGATGAATGTCGTCAGTTACCAGCTGTACAAATCAGAATTAACGTTTAAATTAAAGGAAAAAATGCCAAAAGAAACACAATTGATTGATGATTCTAATTAACGAAAACTTTTTTAAAACAGTTTTCTATAAATAAACAATTTTACTACTTTCTGATTGACATGTGTATTAATTTAAATATCTTTCTAGAAATTTGTAAGCTTTTTATATAGTATAAGCGGTGCCACAGAGGGCAGGGTTTAAGTAAAGCGGGTTTCTTTCGCCCCTTATGAAGAAATAAACATGTAGAATGATTTTGTTTCTTAATAAATAGTAGCATTAAAGCTTTTATAAGCGAAATTAAAGCGAAAGGGAGAGCTTAGGCCGTAGGAAAAGGCCCAGTTCCTCCCTCTCGACAACCTGGATATAAGTCATCGTGTAAGGCCTCCTCATGGGTATAAGTCATAAGTATTAAATTAGTTTTATTTTAAAATTTAAACAGGCGTTGTAATTCGAGAATTTTCGTATATTTCAGTTCCAGACAACTGATCAAAGACGCCATTATGGAAAACGACTTTTTGAAGAATTTGGACATCTCTCAAGTACGCGAAATAGTCGAGTGTATGTACTCTCAAGAGTTCAACGAAGGTTCTCTCGTGATAAAAGAAAATGATGCAGGAAGTCATCTCTTTGTATCTGCAGGTATGACAGAATAAATAACATAGAGAAATGTTGGTTGAAAATAACGCAACGCATTAATTTTACGAGAGCCAAAATCTTAAAAGATGCCAAAAAAAAAAAAAAAAATGTTTAACTGGGTCTGTGCCCTTGTGGAAGGTCGGTGCACTTGTCAAATTATTCTAAATTTAGTCCTAAAATGTATGCTTTTACGTTTCTTGTGCCCAAATTTGATACGAAGTTTAAGTATAAAATAATAATAAAAATTAATTAAAATATATCTAAATTAATTTTTAAATATTACAAGCAGTTCAGTCGTATATACAATTAATTAATAACGTTAAATTTCTCGAAAATAAATATACTTTACTCGTTTTTATAGGCGAATTATTGCTTTAAATGTTTGGTTTTTCGTGAATTCTAGTCAAAGAACGACATTTTTATGAATGTTTTTTAAAAAATAATTTCTGTAGAGGGACAATTCGAGGTATTGAAAGGCTCCACTGTGATAGGAAATATGGGACCTGGCAAAGCATTCGGAGAGCTGGCAATTTTGTATAACTGCACCAGAACAGCTAGCGTAAGAGGTATGTATAATCGTAAAATAATAGAGTTGTATCAATTTTATCAACTATTATAAGTATAATAATTTATTATTTTGATCTTTCAAAGCCTTGTCCGACACTAAAGTATGGGTTCTCGATCGACAGCTCTTTCAAGCTATCATGATGAGAACTGGCCTACAGAGACAGGAAGAAAACATGAGTTTCTTACGAAGGTATCATAAATTTAGACTAAAATATAAATAAAAAAAGTGTTGTTTCTCAATCGTATGTTTCTTTTCTACGATTGTAAACAATAAAACATTTTTATTGCCTTGTGTATTTTTAGTTTGGTGTGTTTTTTTTAGGGTCACCGAACTTGAAAAATTTATTGCTTAAATGTCTCCAAAACTGTTGAAATTCTAGCGTAAATATGACGTTATTTACGTAAAATAAAGAAGAGAAATGAATTTTTTTAAAAGTTATCAGTCTAATAAGACTTTTAATTAATTAACTTTTTATAATTAATTAATATTTTTTTTTAAATTTAATTAATTAATTAATTGTAAAAAAAAAGAAAATTACAACCGTCTTATATATTTATATACATTATTTTTATCTATTTTGCTAATTTTACTTATTAATTTTGATAAAAATAAACAAACTCCTCCCAAAATTAATTTATACAAAAAGACATAATTAAATATAAATTATAAAACAGTGCTTATACGAAATTATATGTAATAAATTGGATAAAAATACGCCTCTACAACCGAAATTTTACATTAAAAGTAAATAAAATAACAAAAAAATGTACATATTTTACATTAATTTGAAGCATTTTCATGTTATATTGACATTATCTTACAGTACATACAGGACTTTTAAGGATTTAAGGAGTAAAATAGGTTTTATTCGATGATTAAAGGATGGATAAGTGTTTTTATTCTACATTCAATCATTTTTTTCTTATTTCAGAAACGTAATCTTTCATATATTTATGTATAAATCCGGTGGTTATACGAATATCTTCATAAATATATGAATTTATATACATCAGACAACATTCTGATAGGATAAAATTTAAGTTTTTTGAAAGGAATTCGCTCAAAAAAACCGTTAATAATGACAGAAATTTTATATTTTATACATAAAAAAAAGNCGCCAAAGTTTAGTGTGAAAATCAATAAAAAATTTAAAGAAAAAACGAAATATTAAAAAATTTTAAGAGAAATTTATATAAATGTTAATTGTACAGTAAATAAAAGTAACATACTTTAATATTTTACGTATAGAAAGACGTCTATAGAAGTGGTTCTCTAATTTATCGATTCGTGGACCACTTAAACCGAATCACAGATAAATCGAGAACCATTTATGCCCCTTCCACTTCTTATCCTGTAAATATTACCTTAGATAATGATAGACAAAATATTTTGGCATAAAATTTATCCAGTAACGTAACATAAGAGATAGGTAATGGGCAAAAATGCTCTTTTCTCTGGCTAAACAACATAGAATGCATTTTGGAAAAATCTCTAACAAGTAAGTCTGGGTGGCAGACTAATCTAATCTGGTATGGTACGCGAACCACACTTTGAGAATCACTAGTCTATAGTACTAATATATTAAAAGGCTTTTCGTGAAAAATTAAAAGAATGGTGGGTTTTTAAATTCCGAAATATATCAGAAATCCTCCTTAATCTTTTCTCAAGTGTAGATAATTAGCCAAAAGAGAATTTTTGATTAAATTCCTCGATTAATTTTCATACAAATCGTACTAAATTTGGCAACTTAACTTACAAATTTATTGATTAAGTTTTTTTTTTTTTTAAACGCAAACAATCAAAGATATTTCTGCTAGTTATTTATTAAAATATCACTTTCTATTCGATTCCAGTTTTCATTTATATGCTAATTTATTATCTTTAACAATGATTAGCTGACAAATTAACACCACGATTGCAACGACACTTTAACTAACTTCGTTTAATGTACCAGTCAAGGTTAAAGGTTAACGGAGATCAAACAGTTTAACTGAGTTCTAACGAAATTCTTAAAATTATTTTATCAAATTATCCATTTATATAGGTTTTAGAAGCGATCGGATTTAATATAATAATAAACTTTTAAGATAATAACATCATTATCTTATATTTTCTAGCGTACCTTTGCTTAAGGATCTTTCTAATGAAATTTTATCAAAAATGGCTGATGTGTTGGAAGTTGTAAGTAGTTATAAATTATTTATTATTTATTAATTTATCATAGTAAATTGTTTTTATGTGAGAATATTAAGTTGGAAAATGAGAAAAGAGATTGTTTTGTCGTAAGTAGAAAAGTACTTGAAGAAAAAACAATAAAAGATAAGAATCTTAGAAATAAAAGTAAGAAGAAAAAGGATATTTTTGTCAGAGTTTATCAAAATCATAAAACTCAACAATACTAAGAGATAAAAGAAAATAGGAAGGGAAAAAAATGTAGATCTAACAACAACAGACTGTGACTTGTTAAATTTTCTCTAGAGTACAAATCATTTATTTATCATTAATTTGTTTAATTTCATTCCTCACAATAGTAATAATCATTAAGAATTTATATTACATTTTAAAAATCTTATCTTCTTTCACAAATTATTAAAAAAAATTATAAATGCAAATAACAAATAGGTTAAAATTTTCATCAATTCACCACACTCGAGATATAATCCCTACACCCTTTTATGCTCCCTATACTTCTCTCCAATGATTTTTATAGAAGAATTCCTGCCAAATTTCAAAATATTTAATCCCCGAGGCTCTGAGATATAAAGCAAACATACACAGAATACAGAATTTCGTTTCCTTTTTTTCGGTGTTTTTGGGACCTTAGAGGGCATTAAAACATCGAGAAATGATAAAAATTTAAACCCTTACAATACTTTTTACTTTCCCTTTATTCTATAATAGCAAGTAGAATAATAAACTAAGCTNCAAAATTGAGAAGGAAGACAAATACATATACATAATGATTTAACAATAAAAGATTAGGCATTTATCCTCCTGTTTTCATTTCTTTAATATAAAGTTATATTTAATATAAAATTTAAGAATTTCCACAAGTTTAGGAAAGAGATCCACTTTGCTTGGCACTTTTTTAGGTCTATTTTAAGACTCTTAGTCTCACGGGAACTAAGAGGGCCTTTCTAACCATACCCATGGTAGATTTAGCCAGGCCCAAATAGCAGGGAAGGATCCGACATAACTGGGACATACCCCGAAAAATTCCCCGTATAAGAGAACTTTCAATTATAACTGTTTATTCAAATAAGACGGTTAATCTTTAGAATATATAGGACTATTTTAGAATATATTTTAAAAAATCGTACTGAAATTTTTGACGTGTAAATTTATTATACTGTAGTACGGAAGTGACACTCAACAAGAGGTATTCTTCTCTAAAAGGATACGCCTTCTAGGCATTTTATTATAAATTTATTTTTTGTTTATTTTAACTATTATGTTGTACGACTGACAAATTCTTTTAGCATGTTAGCCATGCATTTTGAAATAACGAGTGGATAACGGTACTCTAAATTATAGATTTTCACTTTATCCTGAGTAATTCTGTAACTAAATCGATACATTAATACTAATTAGTTATATTTAAGACATACTTCTTCAGTTAAATCACTTGTTGGCCTCAATACTTTAACTGAAATTCGCTACTACTCTTCCATAAAAGTACATGAAAAATACATTTTAAGCATCCTAGCTTCACTTATAAACTATTATAAAATATAGTAAAAAAATAAATCAAATACTTACATCACTTGTTAAAGAACTTCGTCCACTTACTTGTTAGACATAAGTAAGTAAGATTAGATGTAATTGTAATGTAATGAAATTTATTATAATTTCAACAAATCAAAATGATTGAAGAAAAAATTTCGAATTTTCTCTTTAAATTCTGATTATTAAACAGGTCAGAATTGCTTCCGTTTTCCATTGTTTTTTAACAAGTATCATTTGTGTTGATTACAACGACCTTCTAGTGAAAGCGGGAGCATCTTAGTGAATTATTTTAGTTAAAACGCATTAAAATATATAAAAATAAAATAATATAAAATATTTTAATAAAAATACACAATATTTTACATAGTTTTAATTTAATTTTTATTGGAATCTCCATTGAGAGTGGATGAATTAGCCTCTCGTATTAGAAGAATGGATCTAATGAGGTCTATGACGATTATTATTTTTAATGGCATAAAATATTTTAAAATTTATTTATTTAACTAATTAATATTGATTATCTTCAAACATCTTATCCATAATAATTACGAATCAATTATATTCTTCCACATCATTCAAAACACCCTTCCATAATATATCATTTAATTTAATCTTTCTAATAATCTGTTAAATTATTAAATTGTTTAATAATTATATTTGCATTTTAGAATTATTTAAATATAAATCGAGGGGAAATGTATGAAATGCATCAAAATATAAGATTTATTTCGTACGTTTCCTCCCGAATGAATATGTTATTTTTTAAGTTTTAAAGATTTAAAAAAAATTAAAAAATGGAGTAAATTTACTCGATCTAAATGTACTTTTTGAGTGTAGCCTATCGAAAATTTCACAAGCACCACGTAAATATTTTTTTCTTTAATTGTAAACATCAAACCTAATTCTTTTTTTTTTTTAAATTACTTTTTACCGTCGAAGTAACTTTACGAAGTTTTGAACTTCTCACAGTGAATGAAATGACGGGAAGTTATCTAACAGCGCCTCTGGTTTACCCTCAGGATTTCTATCCGCCAGGCGAATATATTATCCGGCAAGGTGAAAGAGGGGACACATTTTTCATCCTCAGCAGTGGAAGTGTTAGTATTTATAACTTTCGTTTAGGGACCGATCAAGTATTACATCAGCAAAAATTTGCTCCTGTTTGATCCTTCCTCTCCATCATCACAAGCTTTCCTTACTATCATCCCTCACCTTCATCGCCATCATTTTCTTCTATCATCCCTCCTCATCAGCATCAGTCATAAAAAATCAAGATACCCTTTCCCTAATTATATTATCAGGCCAAAAGTTAAAACAATTTTTCTGTCTTCTCTTCTTTCTCTCTCCAAATACACTTTCGAACAAGCCTGTGATGACTGGAAAGAAAAATAAACTACGGTGTAATCTTACGTCATCAAAAGACTCACTCTCCCTTCCCATCGTCAGCAGCCGTCAGATATAAACGAATATTCCCTCCTCATAAGCTACTGACGTAATACTTGAATGATCCCTTATTACCATTTGCATCTTTCGGTTATATTTATATTAGTTTACTTTAATTAACAGGTTAAAGTTACTCAAAAATTACCAGAATGTGAAGAGGAAACAGAAATTCGAATCCTGCAACGAGGAGAATGTTTCGGAGAACAGGCTCTTCTAAGGTAAACTACCTTCAATAATACATAACACATAAATGACAGATTATTATTCACATCTTTTATAACTCTCTCAAAGACCCAAAATTCCGTATAAATTACAAAATTGAGAAGGAAGACAAATACATATACATAATGATTTAACAATAAAAGATTAGGCATTTATCCTCCTGTTTTCATTTCTTTAATATAAAGTTATATTTAATATAAAATTTAAGAATTTCCACAAGTTTAGGAAAGAGATCCACTTTGCTTGGCACTTTTTTAGGTCTATTTTAAGACTCTTAGTCTCACGGGAACTAAGAGGGCCTTTCTAACCATACCCATGGTAGATTTAGCCAGGCCCAAATAGCAGGGAAGGATCCGACATAACTGGGACATACCCCGAAAAATTCCCCGTATAAGAGAACTTTCAATTATAACTGTTTATTCAAATAAGACGGTTAATCTTTAGAATATATAGGACTATTTTAGAATATATTTTAAAAAATCGTACTGAAATTTTTGACGTGTAAATTTATTATACTGTAGTACGGAAGTGACACTCAACAAGAGGTATTCTTCTCTAAAAGGATACGCCTTCTAGGCATTTTATTATAAATTTATTTTTTGTTTATTTTAACTATTATGTTGTACGACTGACAAATTCTTTTAGCATGTTAGCCATGCATTTTGAAATAACGAGTGGATAACGGTACTCTAAATTATAGATTTTCACTTTATCCTGAGTAATTCTGTAACTAAATCGATACATTAATACTAATTACCATATTTAGTATTTGATAATAAAGCAAAATTAGAACAGGACAACACTCATTGTCAGTTAGATAGAACATATGCGGATTCTGAAAGTAACGCGTAACAAATACTTGTGAAAGGGAATATTCAGTGATTCGAATCATTATGAATAAGTATACAAACAATAAAATAGTTGCAACGTGTACATTAGTGGCACATACGCTTGCTACACAACAAAACTGAAAATCCCTTTGTCTAAGACCGTAATTTATGTAAATGATATAATTAATTTTAGTACATCTGTATTTCATTTTGTAGATGTATCATTTTAAAATTTGAAAGTGTTCCTTGTGGGATATGACAAAAGAATTTATTTGTATCGTTTAAATTAAGTGTAGATTCCGAATTATGCAGCAGTTAACGCTAAGCAGGCAAGTAGCGCAGAAATTCTTTTTTAAAGGTGAAGAGACTAAGTATATATCGCCATTCTCACGAATTCCAGAAATTCCAAAATCTTATTAGCGTTAATGAATAAAAAAATGGTTCTTTTTTAACACAGTAAACGTTATAATTTAATTTATTTAAATTGAAAGAAAAGATTTGATACAGTTCTCCCTGCTAATAAAATCAGAAAATTGATGCGTTATTAATTGATGTAACTTAGTCGTTTTGTTTATTTTTTTAAAATTAATTGTATCTTTTATAATTACACATACACACACATATTGCTTTCTTATAAATCAATAAATAAGCAAACACACATATATTGGCTATTGAATTAAAATGCTATCAGGGCTAGATTTGGGTTTGTGACGCTAAAGCTATAACATCTAACAGCTCTTCTCTCACCAAACACATGATACGTAAAAATGTGAGGCCTTAAGCTGCAGCTGGCTTAGCCTAAATGCAAATCCAGCCTGAATGCCACTTATATATTTATGTAATTTTATTTCAAGTATCAACTAGTAGAGCTTATACCGATATTATGTATTAGGCCTACTCGTTTTTTTTAAATAAAGTTTTCTATTAAAATAACATTAATACGTATCATTTCTTTAAATAAATCGATTATTTAAACTCGAACACACGTTAATTTCTTCAAAATTAAACATTTCCTTCCAAAAATATTACTACAAAACTAATATAATTATGAAGATCCAACGATTTATACATCCAAAATAATTTCCCATTTTCCCAGAAACTTTGATCAATAAAGCTTTAAATATTTAATTAAAAGCTTATTTATTTATTATAAGCGCTTTAAGCGATAGTAATTTATTTATCAAGATATTACTTGTAAAGTCTACTCTTATATAAAAATAAATGCTTTGTTTTGTTACTCGCTGTGTTAATCTGACGTAATAATATGAAAATATCCACAATTGAATGATACGATACATTAAAAATATTGGTTTTTATATTACTTTATATTGATGAACTTTATAAGTACATTCGTTTTTTCAGAATAGTTTACAATTTTACGTCAATCTGACGTCATTTTTATCTTTCGTGTAATGAACAAGTGTCAAGTTGACGTAAAAGTGTACTGTACATTACGTTGACAAGACAAATGCATACGATTCATCCATGTTAATCAGATTACTTATTTAAATTTTGTAATTTTATAATTTAATATTTAATAAATAATTTTTAAAGACATCACAACATAAAAAAGAGAGTTTAAATTGCATTGTTTATAAATGATTTCTTTTTTTTTTCTCAGTAAAATAAATGTTGAGAGTGTAAATAACTTGTAAAATCTCATTTGTCATTTTTTTTCCTTTTATTTAACTCGAAAGAATTGGTAAAAATTCTAAATTTTCCAAAATAACAGCTTTGACATGTATATATATAAATTGTATAAATTCGAGTATAAAAATAAAACTAACTAAAGGAAAATTTAATTATAGAGAAGAAAGACGAACGGCCAACGTAATTGCTCTGCAGCCTGGAGTAGAATGCCTGGTGCTAGATAGAGAGTAAGTACACCATCTTTTTCCCCCCTCTTATAATAATTTTAAGTACTATTGACTGAATAAAAACTGCATATTTAAATGTAGGTCCTTCAATCAATTAATTGGCGATCTTCAAGAGTTGCAAGATAAGCATTACGACGACAGTTCTCTTTTAAAAAGGTATAAATTATATCGAAATTTTTTACTATTTTTTTGTTACTTTTAATTTTTAATGACGGTTAAAATTTATTTCGTTTTATAGACTTTCTTCTTCGATTCCAATTTTTTTAGCAGACGAAAAAGAACAAGAACTGTCTTCTGTTACTTTGGAAAATTTACAAATTATCGCGACTCTGGGAATTGGAGGATTCGGAAGAGTCGAATTGGTACATTTCATTTTATGTTTTTATTGGTTTCAATTAATATTATTGCAGCAAAGGATTGTACATAAATTGCGTAATTCTATTTTTATACTTTCCAACTACCATCCCATCTCCTGCAAAGCTTCGTAACGCCGTCGCACACGCCCAAGTCAAAATTACATAACGCGTATCCTCTATGGACTCCTTCATTGTACTAAGGAATACTACACAGCGCGGGTCATCTAACGTCACATTATTTTATTAATTACCTAAAAAGGAGTGACTTAAACGTTATAGTTCGTTATACTTCAGAAACAGAAATGAATCATTATCCGAGAGTTAAGATTCTAGTATTACGTAACGTTTTTGTGAACACCCTACCATAGCTGCGTTACGTAATTTATGGATAAACCCTCAATTAATTTGTTTTTATAATTGAGAGGTTATTTTAAATTAGAATCGATTTATAACAGTAAGTTTTTCCAGTGATTTTACAGTAAAACCTTCTATTTAACGCCGTATTCGTAAAGAATCAACGGATACTTATGTAGGAATCTTATCCATGAATTACTGAATGTACGATTTTGCATTGCAAACATTTTTTTTTCATCGAATCACGTGGCTTTCGTTCTTTCAAACTCGTACTTATGCGTAAACCTCATTATTGTTTGATGTACAGTACATACAGTACAGTACATCAAATTATCGCAACACTCGATTTAGTGACGATTTCAGAAGAATTACACTATTTAATCTGAAAGATTACTCTATTTAAACTAACAATTAAAATTACTGAGTGTTTATTATTGACGTCAAAATTACGCTTTTTTATTTTATTGGATAATGAAAATTGCACTCAATTGAAATTTACTGAAAAATTCTTTTTGGCTAATTTATTAATTAAATAAATTTTGTAAAAGTGATCAAACAATTCATCTTTAATGATTGATTAAGTATTGATTAAAAATTAATAAATTTTTAATTAAATTAATTTCGTATTTGATAATTAAAGGTTCAACTTACTACTGACAAGGAGAAGACCTTTGCATTGAAATGTTTGAAGAAACATTACGTGGTAGAAACTCAACAACAGGAACACGTTATAAGCGAGAAGAAGACGATGATGATATGTAGGCATCCTTTCATCTGTAGGTAAGCTGAATTTCTTGAATTTTGAATATAAAAATTCCATATTTTTATATATAAGACTGCTCCAATATATAATACCATTTATTCGTTCTGATTGAAAAAAAAATTCACTTTCTTTCATGTTCAAATATTTCTTTAAATAAACCTAATACCGTTTCTATAAAGCAACTGAACTACTTTAAGGCTGATTGTAACTCACGCCGTTTCCAGCAGATGGCATTAAGAATTTAATGCTTTTTCTATGGAAAAATCCTTTTTCAAAAATTCTCGAAAACGGAAGGTGCTAGAACCAAATAGTTTTCTGCGTTAGAATCCTATTTAATTCTTTTATTAACGTACGGTTTAGAATTTTGAAACTCGAATTAGTTAATTTTCTACGAATTTTTAGTGGTAAAAAATTTGTAGAAAATTAACTAATTCGATTTTCAAAATTCTGAACCGTACGTTAATAAAAGAATTAAATAGGATTCTAACGCAGAAAACTATTTGGTTCTAGCACCTTCCGTTTTCGAGAATTTTTGAAAAAGGATTTTTCCATAGAAAAAGCATTAAATTCTTAATGCCATCTGCTGGAAACGGCGTGAGTTACAATCAGCCTTAAAGTAGTTCAGTTGCTTTATAGAAACGGTATTAGGTTTATTTAAAGAAATATTTGAACATGAAAGAAAGTGAATTTTTTTTTCAATCAGAACGAATAAATGGTATTATATATTGGAGCAGTCTTATATATAAAAATATGGAATTTTTATATTCAAAATTCAAGAAATTCAGCTTACCTACAGATGAAAGGATGCCTACATATCATCATCGTCTTCTTCTCGCTTATAACGTGTTCCTGTTGTTGAGTTTCTACCACGTAATGTTTCTTCAAACATTTCAATGCAAAGGTCTTCTCCTTGTCAGTAGTAAGTTGAACCTTTAATTATCAAATACGAAATTAATTTAATTAAAAATTTATTAATTTTTAATCAATACTTAATCAATCATTAAAGATGAATTGTTTGATCACTTTTACAAAATTTATTTAATTAATAAATTAGCCAAAAAGAATTTTTCAGTAAATTTCAATTGAGTGCAATTTTCATTATCCAATAAAATAAAAAAGCGTAATTTTGACGTCAATAATAAACACTCAGTAATTTTAATTGTTAGTTTAAATAGAGTAATCTTTCAGATTAAATAGTGTAATTTTTCTGAAATCGTCACTAAATCGAGTGTTGCGATAATTTGATGTACTGTACTGTATGTACTGTACATCAAACAATAATGAGGTTTACGCATAAGTACGAGTTTGAAAGAACGAAAGCCACGTGATTCGATGAAAAAAAAATGTTTGCAATGCAAAATCGTACATTCAGTAATTCATGGATAAGATTCCTATATAAGTATCCGTTGATTCTTTACGAATACGGCGTCAAATAGAAGGTTTTACTGTAAAATCACTGGAAAAACTTACTGTTATAAATCGATTCTAATTTAAAATAACTTCTCAATTATAAAAACAAATTAATTGAGGGTTTATCCATAAATTACGTAACGCAGCTATGGTAGGGTGTTCACAAAAACGTTACGTAATACTAGGATCTTAACTCTCGGATAATGATTCATTTCTGTTTCTGAAGTATAACGAACTATAACGTTTAAGTCACTCCTTTTTAGGTAATTAATAAAATAATGTGACGTTAGATGACCCGCGCTGTGTAGTATTCCTTAGTACAATGAAGGAGTCCATAGAGGATACGCGTTATGTAATTTTGACTTGGGCGTGTGCGACGGCGTTACGAAGCTTTGCAGGAGATGGGATGGTAGTTGGAAAGTATAAAAATAGAATTACGCAATTTATGTACAATCCTTTGCTGCAATAATATTAATTGAAACCAATAAAAACATAAAATGAAATGTACCAATTCGACTCTTCCGAATCCTCCAATTCCCAGAGTCGCGATAATTTGTAAATTTTCCAAAGTAACAGAAGACAGTTCTTGTTCTTTTTCGTCTGCTAAAAAAATTGGAATCGAAGAAGAAAGTCTATAAAACGAAATAAATTTTAACCGTCATTAAAAATTAAAAGTAACAAAAAAATAGTAAAAAATTTCGATATAATTTATACCTTTTTAAAAGAGAACTGTCGTCGTAATGCTTATCTTGCAACTCTTGAAGATCGCCAATTAATTGATTGAAGGACCTACATTTAAATATGCAGTTTTTATTCAGTCAATAGTACTTAAAATTATTATAAGAGGGGGGAAAAAGATGGTGTACTTACTCTCTATCTAGCACCAGGCATTCTACTCCAGGCTGCAGAGCAATTACGTTGGCCGTTCGTCTTTCTTCTCTATAATTAAATTTTCCTTTAGTTAGTTTTATTTTTATACTCGAATTTATACAATTTATATATATACATGTCAAAGCTGTTATTTTGGAAAATTTAGAATTTTTACCAATTCTTTCGAGTTAAATAAAAGGAAAAAAAATGACAAATGAGATTTTACAAGTTATTTACACTCTCAACATTTATTT